ATAAGCATCTCTAGTCACTACCTGCTGCTAATTTGCAGATGGAAGTAGATCCATGCATTTGATTATTGGCAGGGAAGCGTTTGCTGTGACAGGAGAAACTCTCCTGTACTTGTATTGGCGACTCCTGCATAATGACTTTGTTAATTGCCTCCTGCTGGCTGGGTTCGGGGAAGCCTTCAATGTCTGAACGTCTATTGAGCATTTTTCTTAAAAATGTCGTGATGGAGCTTGTACTTTTGCAGCCATCTCATATGTCTTGCTGGGCAGAAAAGGCAACTGGAAAATGTCAGCCCTGGGATCAGATTGACCAGAGCTGAGGGAATAAGAGACTTCCTCCGCCCTACCTCTTGGCTTTTAGAAATCATTAACATTTCAGTGTGGGTGATCCTGTGAACCCCTGCCTCTCCACAGCCTTTTTCTGAACTCTTTAGCATCTTTTCACTGAAGTACATTAAAGGGAAAACCAGTATCAAGTTTTCTTATTTAGGTCACTTTCAGTGTACTTGAGGAGCTTTTTGCATAGTTATAAATACAAACTGCAGGGTGTGATGTAGATAATCCTGGGATGTACACTGGTGGGGGTGGTTACCATTAATTCCTCAGAGAATGGGGAATATAATGGTGGTAATTTATATTGTTTCAGTGGTCTCTTCTACCTTAAAGCAGGCTGGAGAGGACTTACATATTTCTAAGCTTTTGTAGATCCATGACTTACTCCCAAATCATTTGCATAGCATTCATTTACTGCTGTCCACAGCTTTAAAATGAGGGTTGCTATGGGCCAAGGAATGTTTATTATCACCATTGGTTCCCCGCAAACATGAACTTCAGCGTCCTTTTGCTGGTGGCTTTCTATTGCCCAGATTTTCTCATCTATTTAAAGTTAAATATGTAAAAAAGGCAGCTTAGCATGGGAGTATAGAGTCCTGAGTTTCAACTTGCCTCTAACTTATACTAGCTCCTGTACTTACATTGGTGACTCCTGCATAATGACTTCATTAATTGCCTCCTGCTGGCTGGGCGCTCGGGGAGCCTTCAATATCTGAGCAATCCACTGAGCATTTTTCTTAAAAATGTCAGGATGGAGCTCTGCACTTTCTCAGCCACCTCTTTCGTCTCGCTGGGCAGGAAAAGGCAACTGGTGGTGTTGGATAACTTACCTTACCTCTCTGAATAAATCAGAGTATATCTAGCTTAATTTTATTCCAATTCCATTGTGTGCATTCTCCAATAATGATTTTTAAACCTATCTTATGTGAGAATTGAGTCAAATAATATAAATGTAGCATTCAGCATGTAGTATGGACTCAAATGGTAGCAAGTTTGCAGTTGCTATTATTACTTTGATTATTATCAAGGAAAAAGAAGTGTGGTTGCTTGGGCATATGTATTCTTTGGACAGTCTGAGCATGTGTTGTGTCCTTTGGGGAGAAGAGAACAGAGCAAACTATTTCTCTTCCTCTCTCCCCATAACCCAGAACTATAAAATTAACCACCCACCAAACAATACAGTAAAAGAATTGAGGGGCTCCTGGCATTGACTTATATTTAAGACCCTGAATCAGAGGTTAAGGGTCTGTTTTCTTTTGGCCATAAGATGACATTACTGGTTGGACTTCACATCTCTGACTCCACACATCCCACTCTTCTCTCTAAATTTCTTCCAGCCCAATCTTGACGACCCTGTGCTCACTTGCCGACCACCAGCCTCCAAAATTATTTCTAAGTGACTGAGTTTTCTGAAAGAGTCTAAGTTTGAGCTGAGAGAGTCCGAGCTGAATCCAGACCTTTGCTTCCCCAGTGGTATTCAGGAGGACACAGTAGTCTCAGCTTATGTTTGGGGGTGGGACAAGCCAAGGGGAAGGTGCCCACAAGGGACACTAAGCTTTCGGAAGACAGCCCTCCCCCGCCTCGCTGTGGACCTTCCTGCCCTAATGAACTTCCCCAGGAAGTAAGCGTTTTCACCTTTTATTACACTTCTTCCCCTGGCTTTCTTCCCCCTGGCATTTTTTAAGGCAAGGACTTGCTTTTGCATCTTGTTAAAAATAAGAGCAAGCTGTGACAATAAAAATGTTTCTCTTCCCAGAGCTGTGAGAGTTCTATTCATTCTGGGATTAGTTAATTCTCATGACCTTTTAACAAGACAGCACTTTTGTACACTTAGATGAGATAATTGATTCTAATGGGGAAAGAAGCATTCATTTCACTGCATATACCTGAGTTGTCCGTAGTTCAAGCAATCTCTCCATTACCTTTGGAGTTGCCAATATATAGATTAAAAGAGTAAAAAGGTAAGCAGAAACGTGAGCTCATTCAGTATTGGAAAAAGCAGAGTATTCACTTTCAGGCAAGTTAGCTTTTATTATTATTGACAACTACACAGAAACAGTGCAGAACAGTGTAAAGCCCCTCATTTAGTGCCTGGTACCTAAAAGTGCTCAATAAATGTTAGCTGCTATCTTACCATGACTATTAATGGTATGAATATATGGTTGTAAAATGTAGTAATCACACATATGTGCAGTTTGCAAAGCATTTCTCTCTATTATCTCATATAATTTAATTATCCTTTGAAATACTTTAATCCCCACTTCTCAGATGAGAACGCTGTAGCTAGGAGGTGGTGGCAGTTAGGATTCAGAACTAGTTTTCCTACCTTTGGTCCAGCACACTTTCACCAGCACCACGGAATCAAGAAGAAAGCAAGAGCGGGATTCCATTTCTGTTACCAGACTACGTTCTCTAGTTAAATCAAACTTCTGTGCATTCCCTGATGGCTCGTGTTTGGACTAGAAATCAGAAAGATGTACTGTACTCTGGCCTCCTCTACACAGTTGTTTGTGTCTTGAAGGCAGTCACAGAGTCCCTCAAGACCACCATCAGGGACCCCTCCACAAACTGGAGCCAAGTAACACAGCTTACTGTCTACCTCACAGGATCCTATGTTGCTGCCTTAAAAGGCACGTAAAGCCTTGGAGGTTATCTGATGTGTGAAGGGGATGTCTCTGGGATGCCCACCGCCTTGCTAGACAAAGCCAGTGAGAGACAGCCACATGCTGCAGTGGGTGGAGCCTGGGCCCTCAAGCCAGAAAGTCTGATAGTCTATGATTTCAGGGTTTGACCAGTTTGGGATTCGAGTCTAGACTCTGCCTCTTGTTGTCCAGTTAACCTTTCGTATGTTAATTGATGTCCTTGTGTAAAATGGAGTTATTAATACTCACCTTTTAGGACTCCTCTGAGAATTAAAGGAAATATTGTATTTACTGCTTAGTACAGTGCCTGGTACGTGGTAACCACTCAATAAATCATAGTTTTATTATTATTTCATTTAGGCTTCTGGGTTTTAATATGTATACCTGTAAATTAGGTCTGGCAGGATTCCCATGAGGATTAGATGTAACCTATATAAATTGCCCATTTCACTGCCTGGCACCCAGTTGTCCTCAGAAAACATAATTACACTTCTGTAGCCCCTTCCCTGTGTTTCTTTGTGCCTCCTAGTGAGTCATCACGCCTCCTCTGGGCCTTCTAGTCCTTCTGATAGACTTTGTTACTTGTCTGTCTCCCCTACTTGTCTGCGAGCTCATTGAAGCACGACTGTCTGGTTCAGTTCTGGCTTTTCCGAGCCAGCCATAGGACCTGGCATAGAGCAGGCTTTTAGGAAATGTTCATCAATTGGATGAAGGAGTGAGGCTATATACAGGATGCTGTGGGAGACCACAGACTGCAGTGCTTAACTTATATGTGGCAAATCAGGGTAGGCATCCAAACAGAAGATCAGAATGGGCCACTGACAAGGCTCAAGTCTTGAATTCTCAGGTAGCATGTAAGCAAACATTTTGTACTATATCGCAAACCCTTTGGAAAACAGAAGTACAAGCACATGGTACAAAATCAAAATGTAAAACGGATGTTCAATGAAAAGCAAATATCAGTCTCTCCTATCTCCGACCTTTAGCCTCTTCATAGGGAAGAGGAAGGAAACTTCATAGGACACACCTCTGTCACCAATCTTTTTCATATCCTTCCGGAAATATTCTATACATATATGGGATTTCCTTTCACCCAAAGATAGTATATCAAGCCACTGTTCTGCATGTAATGATTTTCTTTCCCAGAAAAATACATACAAAGAGCTTCCTCATTTTTATGGTCACATCTGGTATTGTGTGAATATAACATGTAGCCCATTAATGGTGGACTGGTTTCCAATATTTTGTTATTCTAAATAATGCTGCAGTGAAAAACCATGCATGTGCATCATTTAGTATGTGTATGAGTATATTTAGAGGAGAAATTTCTAGAATTGGAACCTCTTAAGTCCCAGCGTACAGGGTATATGTATTTAAAATTTGATAGCTTTTCTCAAATTGCCCCCCATAGGTTTATATCAGCTTATGGTCACACCAGCAAAGTATGTGAATACTTACTTCCTATTCTCTGTCAGTACAGTTTATTTTCAGCCTTTTTTGGTTTTGCCAAACCATATGTGAAAAATAATATTTCATACTTTACCTTACCTTTCCCCTGCTATGAGTGATGTCGAGTCTTATCACATGATTGAAAGCCAATTGTATTTCTTATTTTGAAAACTATCTGCTCTTATTCTATGCCTGTTTTCCTACTGAGATGTTGGGCTTTGCTTGTTATTGGCAGGAGTTACTTTTATATTAAGGAAATTAACCCTTTGTGATACAAACTGCAATTTCCCCCCCAGATTATTATTTCTCTTCTGAAGCAAAAGGCCAAGACCTTCTGAAACTCTCCCATCCCTTCCCTTCTCCCAGCTGTTCCAGACTGTAGGCAGGGTCTGTACCTCGATCATCTCTGTGCCCCCAGTCCCTGATGTAGGGCTTGGCCCTGCAAGCTCTCTTCAGGAGCTATTTGTTGCACTGTACTCAAATTCCTGTGTCCCCACCCCACCCGCCCTCCCCAATGGCTTGGAAGTTCCATTTCCACCTCCAACAGAAAAAGATGACTTTTCTCATTGCTCACCACAGCCATGCACCTGTTTGGCCTAAACTGGCACCTGCAGCCGCTGGAGGGGCAGATGTATGAGATCACGGAGGACACAGCCAGCAGTTGGCCTGTGCCAACGGACGTCTCCCTGTATCCCTCAGGGGGCACTGGGTTAGAGATCCCTGACAGGAAAGGCAAAGGAACCACGGAAGGTAGGGTTGCTGTGTTGTCCGTGTCGTGAGTCCTCTGTGTCTGCCTTTGCACCAAGGAGACCTCCATTATGTGCATCATGTGCCTGACTCACAGCTCCATGCTCTGGCCCTTCCTCCCTCCCTCTGCACTCCATGCCGGCTGCCAGTGCACCTGTGTCTTCATTGCAGTTCCTTGTCACTGTGAGCTCAGAGTGGGGCTTGGGCAGGGCTCACGGTGCTCACCCTATCCCATCTCATGCCTCAAGGGAAGCATTATGGGCTTTCATACTGCTGGGGTGGCTGCCTTTGATTGTGTGGGACCAAGATGAGCCCTTCTGGGGAAACCTCGTGGGTGAATGGGCATCTCTGGGAGTGGGGTGTCATCAGGTGGGTAGGTGGTGTGTTGTAACTGAAATGTCCTTGCACCCCGTGGATTAATGGAAACACCAATTCAGATGTTCTAGTGTTTGCCAACCATGTGACCTTGAGCAAGTCACTTAGTTTTCCTGAGCCCTAGTTTCACCATCTAAAATAACAATAGTCATTAGTGTTTATATAGAATGCCTGTTTCAAAGCCTTTTGTCAGGAGCATTTCACATTTAATCTTCACAGAGACCCTGTGATGTACGTATAATTATCTGTACCTATTTTGTAAGTATAATTATCTGTACCCATTTTGGATGCAGAGACTAAGGATCACATTAATTAAGTGACTTTGCTGGAATCACCCAGCCAATAAATAATGGAGTTTGGGATTGGAGCCCAGGTCTGTGTGACTCCAGGGCTCTTGCTGCTTCAAGAAGTTGTCCTACCTGACTCACCCTGTGGTTACAAGACCCTGAAGGAAATGTGAATGAGAAGCCCCACCATACAGTGAGACACAGATTTGTCTCTATTAGTGATGTAAGCGTGGGTGACATTTGGAGTTTGGCATTCTTGAATGGGACATCCATAGACCCATGTTCTGAATTTAAGTGTGTTTTCAACATGCCATCGACACACATTCTTTCACTGCCATCCAAGAGTAATACAGACTCACAAAAATAAAACCAGGAAAGATGTCTGAGCTAGTGGACCAGTCTGTTGTCACTCTAGGCAATGTGGCTATCCCTTGTGCTGTATGTGTTGTGACCTGCTTTATCTCTGTGGTGTTACCTCAGTCAGCAAATCTTCACTGCTTACACCTTCTTTCCCCTTATCTCAGTTAACTTTGGAATCATGACTCCTGAGCTTCCCTGTCCTTTCAAGGATTTGCCTTCAGGAATCAATGTGGTTAACAGGGTAACATATACTTGACCTCACTCGGGACCTGTGAAGGATCCTGAGGGTCAAAATCAACTCTTCACCTATGGTCATTTTTAAGGGAAGAGAAAACTAGGGGCATTTTCACAGAGCCAAGTCAGAATCACTGTGCACTATTTTGAGGGGCAAAGCCAATCTCCTCTACAAAGATTTTAAGACTTAAAACATTGACTAATTTACACTTTCTTTGTTCCTTAATAGGACATGGAGGGAGCATGGATGGGGTCATGGGAAGAGCTCTGGGTTAGGAGTCAAGAGCCCTGAGTTCAAGTCTAGCTGCTGTCACTTGTGATGACCTTAGCAAACATCTTGAAACACTTTATGGGCTTTGTTTTCCTCCTCTTTAAAAGGAAGGTGTTAAGGTAGATTATCTCTAAGGTCCATTCTAATCCACAAATTCTACGTATGAAATTAGTAATAGTATCATCATATGACTAACCAGATGGCTCTTCACGGTGTTTTTCAAGTTGGCCCTGTCCATGGTCCTGCCTGCTGGCTTGTGATTCCCATGTTAGTTTATAGTGTCAGTTGCCATGGGTGAACACCATAAATGAAGCCTGTCCTTAGAGCAAAGTGTACAAATGCAGATCTAAGATATATTTAACCCTCAGGATATTAGTAAAGGGTTTCATTTACCCAAAGGTATTTTTTCCCTCCATGATCTCTATCAAACATTCTTTAAACAGGAGTTGGATCTGTCTGAAATCTCCCGCTGTAATAAGATTAGTTTGTGGGTTATTCAGGTTTTGTTTTTCCCAAGGAGCAGGAGGTGGAGATAAGAGACAAAATAAAATTGCACCAGGTTATTGGTTTCCTTTAATTGGAGCAGTTTTGCTTAAAGGGATTATATGTCATTACTAATGCAAATGAAAATCCTGTTTACAAACCCCTACAATGCAATGCAGTGCTGGAAAGTGGTCAGCATCAAAAGCAATTACTGTGACAAAAAATATGTCAGTCTGGGAAAACAGAAGACAAAGCTTCCTATAGTTTGTGTGAGACCATGTGGTTTTTAATTTCTTTTGCCCTGGTCAAACCGATGTCTACTCGGTTTATGTTTTTAATTGTAATGTTAAAGATCTAGTTCCTTAGACATATCTCAAGGGGAAAAGTCTTTAACCCTGATGTGAGGGCACGTTTCCTGTCCCTTCCGAGGGTATCAGAGAGGATAACTGATTCCAGAATTAAGACTAGAGCCCTGTTGCGCAGTGATGGGAGAAGCAGTGTGGTATGCCTTAAAGAGGAGAAGTGGGCCTTGGGGTCAGACAGTTCAGGGTTTGATGCCTGGTCTTGCCACTTACTGGCTTTGTTAACTCATGCCAGTCATTTCCTTTCCTTAGGCCTTAGTTTTCTCATTATGGAATAAGGATAATAATTCCCATCTTTTCGAAGACTAGTGGTGAAGAGCACTCCACAAATGATAGTTCCTTTCTTTTTGTCCACTCAAATCTCAAGCCATTCCATGTCAGTCACTAGAATCTCAGAAGTCTAGACTAATGAACATTATCCCCTCAAAGAACTTGCAAAGGCTTGGGGCATTTTTTTGAATTTTTTTCTAAGGATACATGTTTTTTAATTATAGAAATGAAATGTATGATGAATCCAGTATTTGAAATGTTCATCACATCTTTGAGAATAACATCAAACTGCAATTTATACTCTATTTTCAAAGTGGCTGTAACCATTTTAGGGTTATCATGGAATGAAAACCAAATACAACAGCTTTTCAAAGTAAAGCCACAGGAACTTATGTTATGCATTAATGGAGGAGGGAAAAAGCATTGCATAAACAAGCATTTCTGACGGTTGGATTGGTGGGCTTGAGATAGCATTTTCTTCTTTCTGCAATGAAATCAAAATCGCCCATCAGTTTGAACCATGCAAATTGCCGCACGCAGACTCAGCTGGGCTCCCCAAAATGGAACAGCTTATTCTGATAACCAAATAAATTTCAAACAGTTGCTAAGGAAACTAAAGGATTCTTTGTGCAAGTTACTGCACTGAAAAGAACTAAGAAGGTGGAGGGAGGGGGAAAATCTTAGTTGATTGGGAATTTAGAACCTATACAGCTAGATCTCAGTCCAGGAAAGTGAAGACTAGACTGGGAAGGGCTTGGAATTTCAGTCCTACCAAAGCTCCCTTATTTAACTGAGCTATCCAATCAATTCAGCAATATGTTGAGAAATTTCTTTTATAGATATGATTGCATATTTGCACAACATTGCTATAGGAAGACTGAATCTCTGTATCTTTAAAAAGAAAAGGACTGTTACCAGTAAAATCTGCATGGTGAAACCTAATCATGCTGTTCTGGGTCCCAAATTCTGAGTTAGGCTCTTTGTACTCTCTGTTAAGCCCCTGGGGGCACCTGCTGATTGTATAGTGTGCTTATGAGTGTCTTGAGATGCTGTTACCCTTTAACTTTGGGGCTTGCTTAAAAATTCCTGCTTCATAAAAATGTCAACTTTTTGTACCCCAGGATGCCAGGAAGTTTTTTAATTGCCTTGGATTTACCTGGTCTATCCTTGATATTTATCCTAATGGGATTGTGAATTAAACTGGACTCTTGTTCTTAAAGATGGTCAATGCATCCTGCCACCATTGAGAATGTCTTTGAAGAGTCTTAATTAATTATTTATCAGTTTAATGCTCTAAGAAACCATATTCTAATAAATAAAGAGGAACCCCAAATAGCTTCATCTTTAAATGCCTTCTTAAGCATTCTGAAGCTCAGTATATATATTTTAATAGTATAAGAATTAACCAAGATGCATAAAGGTAGCCAGCATGTCATTTGAGCTCAAGAAATGACAGCTAATACTACTATCTCTACCTTTATTACTATTATTACTACTAATATATATACAATATATTATTATCATTATTGTTGTGATCATTTTCCAGAATGTAGGTAGGGATAAAAATAATTTTATACACAGGACTTTTCTCCAAATGCTCATTACCCCACCATTGGTGGGGTTTGCTATGTAGTGGGGTATTTTTTATCCTCATGCTGGCAGTTTGGGACTCAGAATTAAGAACAAAGAATCTTTAGTTTACAGGATCTGAGAGAGGAAAGCAATGAGGGTATTAAAAGTCAGGAAAGGATCAGGGTGGTTTCGCTGTTCGAGGCACGGGTGCACCAGCTCTTTCTGTTCAGAAGTCCTGCGGATAGCTCAGTGTGGAGACCGTTGGGAACAAGAGGGGAGGAATGGTAAAGGTTTAATTTCCAGATGGGGGTCTGCTTCCCCTCTCAAACGTTGCCTGTAGGCTGGCCCGAGACCCCTTATCTAAGGATATGGACTGGATGATTTCTAGAACAAAAGTCGCTTTTGAACAGAAGCTCTAGAGTGGCCCTCACAGACTCAGCCAAGAAAGTCCAGTCCAGGTTAGGGGTATGCCCTAGACCAGAATCTGCTATTTTTATTTCATTGTATTCAAAGACAGGTTTTTTTCCCCTCCCATTTTGGTCTGCTTCAGTGAAATACTAGAGTGCGAGAAAAGAACATCCCCATTGGCCACTCCTCTGGGGTAAGAGCCTCTGGGGCCTGCAGACCTCTGGAGAGAGTCTCTGGGCTGGCCTCTGACCCACAAGGCTAGAGAACTTAGCTGATACAACAGCTCTTTCCTAAAAACATTCTCACTGGAGGGGAAAACGAACTGTGCAGAGTTCTCCAACAGCATGCCAGAATGTAGGAGAAATTTTTGTTATTTATTCTCAGACATAGGAATTATCTGAATGCAGACAATTCTCAAATCCCATCAGCTCTAACTCCCACCTACTCAGGAAGGAAATGAGTCCTTGGAATTAGCATTCTGGGCTTATTTATTTCTCTGCAGTTTCTAGGAGTAAAAAGCTCAGAACTCATCCTGCTTTTGTTTCACATTCCCTCATAGTTCTGCTTCCCTAGCAGAATTCTAAGCTGAAGGGTTACTATTTTCTACCTGGAATATAAAAGGATTGTGGTATTGGGATCCCAAAAATCAGATAAGGAAGAATGTGAAAGTAATTCTCTTGCATCTTACTGTTCTGTGAATTTGGCTTCTATCTTTGAACTTTGAATCACAGTGTGGTGGTTGGGGTGCTACATTTTCAAGGTAAAAGTCTGGGGCACATTCTTTCCATAAAGGAATGAAATGCAAGCTCTTCCCCATGCTAATGACAGAACACTCGTTGTACTTTTATTGAGAGCTTGTGTTTTAACTTTTTTTGTTGGCATATTTTTAATTAAAATAACATTTAATGGTTTGCAGCTAAAAACCTGATGTTTCTATCTAGGAGTTTATAAAGGAACGGTAACATATGGAGAAGTTTAACATTTAAATTGAATTTTATTATTTAAAACAGTAAAATATTTTAAGACTACAACAGTGCCCTGCCAAGCTCCATTTCAGCGTCCGATGTGCTTTGCAAGGAATCTTACAAAGCTGGGACAAAAGACATTTTAATTTCCTATTCCCAAATGCCTTTTATAAAAAGTTCCCACAAACGTGTTTCCTTTACAAATGGACTCTTGTTCTCCAAGGTGTCTCTGCACATTTCTAAAAAGCACAAAACTAGGATACCCAGAGCGTGCTTCCTAATGACAAATAAGATGTTATCTATTGACTTGATTTTGGTTTGTCACCATCCCAAGGGTGGTCCTCTAACATCCCTGTTGACTCGTGCTGCTCCCTTCCAACTTCGTAGAAGGCAGATGTCTGGCAGGAAGTTAGGGTTTATATTTTTCACATGTGAATGTGTTTAATCACTAAATAGAGGAAGTTTGATAAGTGACCTTCCTTCCTGGCACCTGAGGTTCCCCCAGAAAGCTGTCACTCTCCTGATTGGTGACAGAATTGAGCAAGAAACCTTACTCCTAACCCCTCTAATCCACAGCCTGCAGGGTTGGGGCCTGGGCTGAATTTCCAAGTATGTCATAGGCTTTGTGCCTGAACTTGAGAAATTCCCTCTACTTCACCCACCACTTTGGCACAAAAATTATATTCAGAGACCTCCATCCAGAACAGAGAAGTGTTTTTCAGAAATGTTTCCTCTGTTCAGAAGTATCCTCTTCCTCTTCTTCCCCAGCCCTACCCCTGCTCCCAGCACAAGTCTCCTCTGTACATCCTAGCCTCAGAATTTGGCCCCCCATTACACATAAACTAGTGAAGTTGTGAAATACCTTACTCCACTCAGGTCATGCCACTGCTGGGGGAGGCAGTCTGAGCTGGAAGCTTAGTAACAACGCCTCATTCCCACTATCCTTTCTATTTTAGCATCCATGCTTTTACACACACACACTCTTTCTTATTCTGATGTGACTGCAAATGATTATTTTTAGAATCAAAATATATCTTAAGCTGTGGAATCATGCAGCACACAGATGGCCCCTGGGGAGGACCCATGCTGCTTTGGAAGAATGCATATTTTTAGCAGAACCGTTTGAGCATCACTAGGAAAAAGTTCTGGACGTTCTTACTGCTCAATGGGCGAGAGGCTGGGGGCTGGTGCTGGCCATGGAGCTTCTGTAGAGAAGAATGCGAGGCCGAGGCGAGCCCTGCTTGTTCATGCACTCTGATCCCTTGTTCCGCTGCTGGCTAACTGTGATGTTTTGTCTCCCCTTCCCTGTGTCTTGATAGGAAAGCCCAGTAGTTTCTTTCCAGAGGACAGTTTCATAGACTCTGGAGAAATTGACGTGGGGAGACGGGCTTCCCAGAAGATTCCTCCTGGCACTTTCTGGAGATCTCAGGTGTTCATAGACCATCCTGTGCATCTCAAATTCAATGTGTCTCTGGGAAAGGCAGCTCTCATTGGCATTTATGGCAGAAAAGGCCTTCCTCCTTCACATACACAGGTAACCAAATCCCGACCTGCCCCTGATCTCCAGGGGCTCCTTCCTCAAATTTTAACCCAAAGTCAAAAAGTCTAATGTTTAAGCCTGGATCCTTGAGTTTGAAGGGAATTTCATCTATTTCATAGCCCATACATCTGTGCCCTCTCTCACACCCTGCCTTTCAGATGAGTAGGGTTATATCCCTGGGGATTTTTAGGAGGAGGGGATTCTAGGAGATCTCTCAATATCCTTTCTACTATTACCCAGTCTCCCAAATTAAACTGTCCAGGAAATATAACCTAGAAAAAAAGCACGCCCTTTGGAGTCAGGCAGACCTGAGTTTGAATCCTTTTGTTCTTGGATACATAACCTCAGGCCTGCTTCGTGTCCTCTCAGAGCAAGTTACCTAATACCCACTTTGCAGGGCTATTGTGGAGAGTAAAGAATAACATTTCTAAGGCAGCTAATGCAGGAGCTAGCTCAGAATGAATGCTATTCCACTCTTGGTCTCTTGTATTCCTCCTCACCTCTGGGTTTTCACATTTATTCAAACGTATGTGCACCAGAAATACTTAAAAATCTCGTCCAGAATGATTGACATCTTACTCGTCATGATGGGTAAAGAACAGACTTGTGTGAAGTCCTCTGGCACTGGGATTGGAGTAACACAAACCATGGGCATCCATCAGACATTTCTAGGCCAAGTGCAGTCTTCCTAGCCCTAGTAGTGATTTAACACTTTTAGGAAAAAGCTAGATATTTGCTAAGGATGGAATCATGGAAAAATAAAGTCTGGGTCCATGGTTTCTTTGTAGAACTGCGATGACACAAAGAATTGCATGCACCCCACCATTTTTACAGGAGATAGAATAAATCTCTGTCTTGGTTTTTTTAAAGGAAGGAAGGAGGTGAGGGAGGGAAGGAAGAGAAGAAGGGAGGAAGGGGGGGGGGCAAGGAAGAAAGGCTGGGAGGAAGGGAGGAAGGAACATAGATAATTGCTCGATTTGCTTAATAGTAGGCCAGTAGGATTTAACCACCTACCAGTTGTTAACACTGTATAACTGCTCTTGAGTTTCATGCTAACAGGCTCAGATAAATCATCAATTTTATTTGACACAGCATGTAAATATGGATAGTGTTTTGAGCTAATCCAGTTTAGTTTCCCTTAAACTGTTCCCTGAAACTGGAGCATTTAGACAGATAATTGACAAAAGAAAGATCACACTTTTTTTTTCATTTGCACTTGCACTTGACATTTAAGGCACGTGCAGTGCTCAGTCCCACTGCTAGACCCCTGGCAGAGTTGCAGTTCAAACTGTCATAAAGGGGCTGGTTTCTGACCACGTTCCCACCCTCGGAAAACCATGGTTGTCCTGCTACAAATTCTGCCAGATGAAGACTTGCCACACGTGCACCAAAATTAAAGCAAAATGAGACCAAAAGAAAAATTAAAAACCCTAATTACACTATACTCAAAGGAGATTCAGAGGAGTCTATAACCATGAAAAAATGGGGGTTGGAAAGGAGTTGGAGTTGGTTGATCAACCTGTGTGGCTTTAGCCTCTTTAGCCTGTTACAGGTCGTGTTCCCTTGGGTCCTGCCCAGGAGGAACCCAAAGAATGGACCATTGTGCTGCAGCAGGCCCGCTGCTAATTGTGCTCTCTTTGCACTTTAGTTTGACTTTGTGGAGCTACTGGATGGAAGGAGGCTTCTGACCCAGGAGGCATTGGGTTTTCACATTTATTCAAACGTATGTGCACCAGAAATACTTAAAAATCTCGTCCAGAATGATTGACATCTTACTCGTCATGATGGGTAAAGAACAGACTTGTGTGAAGTCCTCTGGCACTGGGATTGGAGTAACACAAACCATGGGCATCCATCAGACATTTCTAGGCCAAGTGCAGTCTTCCTAGCCCTAGTAGTGATTTAACACTTTTAGGAAAAAGCTAGATATTTGCTAAGGATGGAATCATGGAAAAATAAAGTCTGGGTCCATGGTTTCTTTGTAGAACTGCGATGACACAAAGAATTGCATGCACCCCACCATTTTTACAGGAGATAGAATAAATCTCTGTCTTGGTTTTTTTAAAGGAAGGAAGGAGGTGAGGGAGGGAAGGAAGAGAAGAAGGGAGGAAGGGGGGGGGGGCAAGGAAGAAAGGCTGGGAGGAAGGGAGGAAGGAACATAGATAATTGCTCGATTTGCTTAATAGTAGGCCAGTAGGATTTAACCACCTACCAGTTGTTAACACTGTATAACTGCTCTTGAGTTTCATGCTAACAGGCTCAGATAAATCATCAATTTTATTTGACACAGCATGTAAATATGGATAGTGTTTTGAGCTAATCCAGTTTAGTTTCCCTTAAACTGTTCCCTGAAACTGGAGCACTTAGACAGATCATTGACAAAAGAAAGATCACACTTTTTTTTTCATTTGCACTTGCACTTGACATTTAAGGCACGTGCAGTGCTCAGTCCCACTGCTAGACCCCTGGCAGAGTTGCAGTTCAAACTGTCATAAAGGGGCTGGTTTCTGACCACGTTCCCACCCTCGGAAAACCATGGTTGTCCTGCTACAAATTCTGCCAGATGAAGACTTGCCACACGTGCACCAAAATTAAAGCAAAATGAGACCAAAAGAAAAATTAAAAACCCTAATTACACTATACTCAAAGGAGATTCAGAGGAGTCTATAACCATGAAAAAATGGGGGTTGGAAAGGAGTTGGAGTTGGTTGATCAACCTGTGTGGCTTTAGCCTCTTTAGCCTGTTCCAGGTCGTGTTCCCTTGGGTCCTGCCCAGGAGGAACCCAAAGAATGGACCATTGTGCTGCAGCAGGCCCGCTGCTAATTGTGCTCTCTTTGCACTTTAGTTTGACTTTGTGGAGCTACTGGATGGAAGGAGGCTTCTGACCCAGGAGGCACGGAGCCTAGAGGGACCCCAGCGCCAGTCTCGGGGAGTCATGCCCCCATCCAGCCATGAGACAGGCTTCATTCAGTATCTGGATCCAGGAATCTGGCACCTGGCTTTTTACAATGACGGGAAGGAGTCTGAAGTGGTTTCTTTTCTCACCACTGCCATTGGTAAGGAAACCCCCACCCCTCTGGGGCTGGGGGCTAGTGTCTCTTTGGGCAAGAGGGTGTTGGGAGTCTCCGGGGGTGGTGCTGACCAGGGGAGGAGCTTGCCCAGAGGCTGGCGTGGGGCCACGCTGACTGAGCTTGCTGGCCAAGGGATGGGAGTGGGTGGCAGGGGACGAGGGGAGTGGGTGGCAGGGGACGAGGGAAGTGGTGGGAGGGGCCGGCAGGCCCTGGGGCCCAGAGCTGTCGCCCATGGCCTGCCTGTGTTATCTGTGCCACAGTGGGTGCAGTGTCTTAGAGCCGAGGGGTAGAACTGATAAGACAGGAAGCGTGGATGACCAGCCATGTGGAGGCAGCATCTCTTTTCTTGTCCCATCTATCCAATGCCTGCGTTTGTCTTGAAAGTCTCGCTTCAACTCACTGATTTGTTACCTGGGGTTTGTTTTTAAATGTATTTGGTTTGTTTGTTTGTTTTGCATTTGGAGCCAAGAACCCATGGCAGATAAGAAAGGAAGATAAAGGTTTGGGGAGGGAGTGAGAATAGCAGTGCAAAGGACTGGGTGGACAGGGTAATAGGCAGATTGGCTTTTTGTTGGGAATGGGATGTCCTGACCCCTGACAGAAAGCGCACCCGATGTTTTAAATAGGTGCCTGCTGCCTTTGCCACCCCTCATACTGGAAGAGGGCTGCAGCTGTCGGTGTGGAGTGAGGCCCTTGGCCACCTCCCAAGCCTGTGGGTGTCCAGGGAGCCTGGCGTTTTCTTCTCAGGATTTGGTCTTTACCCACACATTCTGTAGAATTTGTTTCCTCCTTAGATCGTCAGTGTGCTGTAGGACATGATGGTCTCAGTGACTCAGGTCAGAAAACGTTATTTTCTGAGTTTATATTGGAAGCGCTACGACATAGCCTGGAGAAAGAATCTTCTACAGGAAAATAAAACTTACAAATAGGCAGAACTCCACTAACCAGAGTGTTTGGGGTGGGGTTTGAAAAGCCCACTGTGGTTTAGAGTTCATCTCAAAACTCGGTCTCAAGTCCTTGGCTATGAGTCTCTCTGACATGGAAAATGCAGTTAAACAAAATCCTCTGAATCTGATCCTTGGTTCCTACAACTCTTGCAAGATCCTGGTTTTTCCCTTCTAAACAGCAGTAGTCATTTTCGGGCCATTTTCCTCTTATTTGTAATTTTGCTGAGGCAGAGAATTCCTTCCCATTAAATACGGGGCATGGTTCATAAGCCTGCTGTAACTGCAGGCTCCATATTCTACCCTCTTGGCTAAATGAGGGAGGTAGGGGCCATCGGGTGGCATCCGCTCTGGCATAGGGCCTCTGACTTTGTGCCATCCTTGTTCGGGAGGCATCTGTCCTAGCTGCTGGCCCCTGAGTGCCCAGGGGGCAGCAACATCAGCCTACCCCTCTCTGCCTTCCAGCTCCCGGCACCTCTGGCCCCCAGAAGCACGGCCTTTGCTGGGCTAAGCCTCTCGTTGGCAGGACTGCAGCTGCCACAGTCTTGGAGTTTGCGATGCTGTGGTTTCCTCCCTCCACGCCACCTTTGGAGGTGCAGGAGAAAGTGTGCTCAGTTCTGAATCTCTGCCACTAACTTCAGTTTTGACTCAGCACAAATCACTTAAATTTTTCAGCTCTTGGTTTCGTGAGGTTCCAGAATTGGAGGCTGCAGCTCAGTGGTTACTGGTGACCTAGAGGCCATCAGTGCAGCCCCATTCCCTGCCATCCAAGAACCAGTTCTGACCTCGCCATCAATTAGGCTGTCACTCTGCGGGGTTTGCCAGGCTCTAGACCCTGTTTCTTTTCTCTTTCTGGACATGGTGGCTTCGGTTTAGGGACACGATTACCAAGTCATCAGTGGAGCCTGAGCTACTGCCACGTGGTCTCACAGCCGGTTTCTCTTAGTCATGGTTCACAAAGGAGCAAAGTATCATGCTTGCTCAGAACTGAGATCTCATGCAATCAGAACTTTTTGTTTTTAATAACTAAGCATAAATACGAAAGGATATTAATACAAACCCCCAAAGAAAACCACTTTTAATTAGGATGTGCATCGTAGAGAAATAAAATGTAAGTAGTTAGGTACCTGTGCCAACCCCTGGCCTGTCAGAGCTTGCCAACCTGTTTGTCATGATTAACGAAATGATCCTGCTTTTTCCTCTGGTTCTCTTGTTCTCACCTAAATGATGACATCTGCCTTCACTTCTCTTAACCCTGTAGGATCTTCGGGAGCAGATTGGCTATACCATGCTTCTCAGAGTTTTATGAGCCACCTGGCATCTTATTAAAGTACAGACTCTGCTGCAGGAGGTCTGTGTGGGTCCTTAGGTTCTGCGCTTCTAACCAGCACCTGGTGATACCAATGTTGCTCATGTGTGGACCACATTTTGAGTAGCATAGGATTGTGATATCTTATGGATGGTTGCCAACATGGTTGTACAAAAGAATCACTTGGGAAGCTAGCTGAAAATTCTGATTTCCCAAAATTGTGACCCAGTAGGCCTGAGGTGGATCTGAATTCTGGTGGTCTGTCACCTCCCTAAGCCCCCTTTTTCTTGTCTGGAAAATGAAGCAGTAATACCTGCAATCCCCACTGTGAGGCTTAGAACAAATATAGAGCTCCTGGCACAGGCTCTGGGCCCTGTGAGGCCTCACCACGGGGCAGGGGTCAGCATTCCCTCCCGTCCTCTCGCTCCTACTGCCTTTCTGACCTGTCTGTCTCTCCTCAAGCTGCAGTGATTGTTTAATGAATACCTTTTCTTCCTTTAATACAAAAACAGACCAATTCTGATGTTGCTACTAATTCCTCTTTCCCCAAGAGTCCCTGGCATTGAGTCTCAGCTGTCTGTGATCGTTACCTGTGAGCTGGGGTTGTCATTTGTCTTGTCAGGTTAATTAAAAGTTTAGGTTTTGTTTTAGTGAAATCATTATGGTCTAATATACAATGGTAACTCTCAGGTTTGCTTAACACACAAGTTGGAATATGACCCTCCCTTCGTTATTTGTTGAAATGCAAATCTAGAATTTAAGAAGATCTGAGATGTCAGAATCTGCGGTATTTACGTCTGTCTGTAATGAAGCAGCAGGAGAAATAATTATTTCTAATTTAACAAATGACTATATTGTGTGTGTTTTTGCTTTTCCCTCCATTTCATGCAATCCAGCTAATGATCTGAAATTAAAAGAGTTTATCTTCCCCCTTGAAAAAAAATCTAAAAGCACTTTACAGATTGTATACACAAACATATACACATACAGAAACCTGATTTTGACAGAGCTCCCTCTGAACGAGGTGCATTTACACAGACACATATACACACACACTCCACTGAAACCAAGAAAGTCTTAGAATAAAATATGGCAGCTGTTTTCAGAAAGAACAGTCTTTCCCCCTTGTGTGAAGATCCAGAGTTTGAGGGTAATATTGTTTCTGGTCTTGGCTGCATTGGGGATGGGTAGCCTTGCTGACCCCAAGTATTAAATGAAGTAGGGGGATGTTTATCAGTAGCTAAAATATAATTCACCACTGCAGTGTACAAAGGGTTTTACTTTTTAAATACATGCAGTAACTCCATGAGGTGATAATTCTTATTTTTACTATCACTCCCTATTGCAGATCAGGAAATTGAGGTTCAGGGATGCTGAGAGGAAAGCCAGGACTTGAATTTGTATCTATCTGCTTATGATCTCCCTTCTTTAGCTATCTGCATCCTTCCCAAGACCAAGCCCCCTTTTTGAGCACCGCACTTCTGTTTTTCACCTATCCATTCATTCTGCAGACATTTAGAGAGTTCCTGCTGAGTGTTGGGGACCATGCCTAGTTCTTTTCTGTATGCAATTTAATACTCACAAGAACCTTAGACAAATATGTATTTTGATCTCAACTTCACAGATGAAGAAATTGAGGCTCAGAGAGTCCAACTGACTTGCCCAAAGTCACACAGTGAATAAAAACAGAGCATAATTGGTCTCTGAAGCCCATCCTCTCCCAACTTGGTCACAGTGTCTTACTATTTGCTATGATACTACTAAGTATTTTATTTCCATTTGGATTATATGGAATAAAATTTCTCCCATATTAATTTGCCTCCAATATAAGAAAGTATCTTATATCAACCCAGGAACTTTTCTTGAGAAGTCATTAAAAAGACCATGAAAGAAATATCTCTCAGTGCCCAAAACTTGAAAAATAAAAATATCTTTGCATGCATTGCTTGTAACCCCAATACCTGGCAAGTCAGTATTATATTGATTGGGGTCTCTAGGTAGCATCTTATCTTTCAGTTTTGGTTGATGCCAAAGCATAAAAAGACAGTTCAACCTGACATTGTAGTAATGCGACCAAATTGGAGAATAACACAGGTGCCCAAAGATGGATTTAGAAACAAAGAAAATAAATGAGGATTGTTGTTAGAAAATATAGACATGTAATTTTTATAAGAACTGTGCCCAAGTCTTCCTGTTCTAAGGACATTCATGCTAATTAAAAAGAAGGGTCCTTTAGTTCATGCCCAGGCAACCACTGTAAACTGACCTATTCTGTGTCCGGGGACTAGAAGCAGATTGAGTCCCTCCCTCCCTTCCTTCCTTTCTTCCTTTATCTAATGATATTGCATTCCTGCTCTTTTGTAAGTTGGACACAGAAGATATGACATTGTTTCTGGCAAAAATAGCTCATGGTCTAGACTAAGGAGATAAAGCATTTATACAGTAAGTTATTCTAATCCAAGGAAAAAAAGAAAGAAAGGTCCCTCCTGGAGCCGCTGGTCAAACTGCCATGCGGGAGGGAGGAAGGCAAGGGAGCGCCGGCTGGACAGCTCTGGGAAGGCTCTCTGGATGCAGTGACGCTCAGTGGGGCCTCCAAAGATGGGTACAACTATCACAGTTAAACAAAGAAAATGGCAGGGGATGTTGACGAATCCATTCCAAGTAGTAGGAACAGCATGAGCAACAGGGCGGCAGGCAGAAAATTAAGAGCTGTCTGTAAGGAGCCAGCAGTT